AGGTATTTGTTCTTGTACTGTTAGTTACCTCTTTTCTTTATTGATTTGTTCATAGTGTTCTTTAACAAGGCTGGTAAATGTCATGACCAAAAGCATACTTGGCGTCGGTCTTTCTTCAGTAACACTTCCAGGCTTTTGAAACTCAAACAAATGAGCACTTGATTAGTCACGTCAAATGGCACATTTACATTCACAATTGCATCACGCTTATTTTTAGTACATTTCGAATGACTTTATTTTAAAGATTCAACACACTGCCAAAATTTAAAATATTGATACAAAATTTCTAAAACGCACCAAAATATCAGGCTTCATACCAGAAGTATAGTTTTGCTAGAACAAGGGTCAAATTGTACCACGTGTTGATTCAAGAACCGACATCACAGCACTCGGGGCATTCACATAGGCGATCCGTCCCAATTCTCTTCAGCCAGTGAAGAGTTCCGATACTAATTATACTAATACTGATTAAACGCCCGTCTTGCCTTTCCTGTGAGCCTCGAGCATCTGCCAGAACCTCTCGTCACTCCCCCCTGCATCAATCTCACCAGACTGGTGATCCATCTGCTCCTCCGAACTGTACACTCTCTCCCACAAAGCACTAACCACGTCTGCCTTCGACTTCTTTTTTTCTTCTCCTTTTTCTTTTTCTTCTTCTCTTCTTCTTCTTCTCTTCTTCTTCTTCTTCTTCTTCTTCTTCTTCTTCTTCTTCTTCTTCTTCTTCTTCTTCTTCTTCTTCTTCTTCTTCTTCTTTCTTCTTCTTCTTCTTCTTCTTCTTCTTCTTCTTCTTCTTCTTCTTCTTCTTCTTCTTCTTCTTCTTCTTCTTCTTCTTCTTCTTCTTCTTCTTCTTCTTCTTCTTCTTCTTCTTCTTCTTCTTCTTTTTTTTCTTATTTTCTTCTTCTTCTTCTTCTTCTTCTTCTTCTTCTTCTTCTTCTTCTTCTTCTTCTTCTTCTTCTTCTTCTTCTTCTTCTTCTTCTTCTTCTTCTTCTTCTTCTTCTTCTTCTTCTTCTTCTTCTTCTTCTTCTTCTTTTTTCCTTATTTTCTTCTTCTTCTTCTTCTTCTTCTTTTTTTTTCTACTTATTTTCTTCTTCTTCTTCTTCTTCTTCTTCTTCTTCTTCTTCTTCTTCTTCTTCTTCTTTCTTCTTCTTCTTCTTCTTCTTCTTCTTCTTCTTCTTCTTCTTCTTCTTCTTCATCATCTTCTTCTTCTTCTTCTTCTTCTTCTTCTTCTTCTTCTTCTTCTTCTTCTTCTTCTTATTTTTTTCTTCTTTTTCTTCTTCTTCTTCTTCTACCTGTGTTATTTATTCTGATTTAAGCACTGACGCTCCTAATAGTTTTTCTCCGCCATGAAGCGATCTGAATTGTTAGAATAAATCATGGAACACCTAAATCATTCAAAAAGTAATATCTGGGTAAGACAGGGATATGTCTAATCACCACTTTTGTTTATCACCTACATTGACTGTATAATCAAAGATGCCAAGTCCGGGAACAAAAATAATAGTAACATCAACACATTACTGTTTGATGATGACCAGGCCTTGATTGCAGATACAGCCATGAATTTACAACATCTCACATCAATGGAATGTGAATTAAATAATAGGAGAATCAACATCGAAATGACAGAAGTATGAGGAAAGAAAATAAAGAAGAAGAAAGAGGAAGAATTTAAAAATAGCATTAGAGCATAATGAAGTAGCATCTGAGTTTAAAATTGGAACAATAATTCACTGAAGATGGTTAACTGGACAAAGAAATTAAGATCCGATGCAGTAAAGCTGGCCAAGTATTGGGACAGTTAGCCTCCTCTTACAGCATACAGCAATCCCAATCAGCACAAAGAAACATCTCATACAAAGCATATTCATTCCCATCCTATGCTATCAGTGTCAGGCGTGGTCACTCACAACAAAACATAAAAGAAAATTTGTAACCATGGAAATAAGGTGTCTGAGAAAGACTGTAAAAGTGAGCAAAAGAGATGAAATCAGGAACGAGGTCATACGAGATAAAGTCGGCACAGAACCAATTCAAAATGACATACAAAGACAGCAAATCAATTAGTTTGCCCACTTGGAGAGAATGCCTTTTGATGCTATACCATGCAAGGCATTTACCAAAAGAGGTGAAGGACGCAGATCAAGAGGTAGACTGAGCACAGTATCGGGAAACTCAACAGTACCACGATGTGTCTATGGTCGAAGCCGCCTGAAGAGCACAAAGCAGGACCTTAAATCTCCATCGACACCCGAAGCGGTAAAAGAGGACGTAGAGAAGAAGATAAGGCTTTCTGCAGGATGGGATATCAAACCCTAGCCTCGACCCTCCTCTGGCACCTCATACAACTTGCATAGTGTATTACAATCCACTGACTGACTTTCTACCCCAGCAGAACATCACACAAGCGATAAACACACGATGACACAAAGTGCCACCATGGGGATGAGGATCACCGTGGAGAGGTCCCAGAAACCGCGTTCAGACAATTGGCCATATTTATGGCCTGCCTATATTGCGGCCCCTGGCAAAAGCCAGGGAGGGGCTTCAAAGAACAAAAAAGTTCGTCCTAAAAAGGACGCAAGGATTACACAGTCCACTATTTTTTTGCTTCCCTTTAACACCTTGGCAATTCGCACGGATCGCTTTTAATACTGTTGATTAAAGTTCGAACCTGGGAAGGCTAGCCCGGGCAACAAATGCCTGCAGAGTCGGATTTGTCGACCGAAAGGCGCAAATTTAGCTGTCATTTTGTAAAGGAGCACAACATATTTACATCTTCGGGTGAACACAGAAGAAGATGGAAATTATTTTGATAACTGAGATTGGTCTAAATCAGCTGTAAAAGTCTGCTTCCTTGAACCTTTCTGAAGACATAAACATCTGCCACTTAAGGCCCGATTGATGTGGTGTTGAAATGTCCCACAGCAAGCTAAACGCTGAGCCTTATCTCAGATTCTATTCTCAGCTTGTAACTCTATCGACATGGAGAATAACAACGATAACGTTAAAGACTATCAGCTTCAGCACAAACCAGGTAACCATGACATCGTTCGCCCAACTTGCGGCACTTTGCGCACTTAATGCTTATATTCGCAACGGAGATTCCCCGACGGCGCTAGTTGCGAGAACACAGCAGGAGGCAACTCGGCGAACTCCTCGGATACAAATTAAATTAGATTCATGTCCCAGATAAACATCAAACGACCCAGGCGAGAAAGTAGCGTTTGCAGAGAGGGAAAGCAAGGCCACATTTGGTGGAAGTATAAAGCTTAACAAATCATAATAATTTACAATGCACCAGGTACCCCGTCCCCTTCTGGATTGTTCTTCGTTGTCACAATGAATTAGAGAATGATGCACGAATAATGTCGAGAAATGTTGGATTATCAAGTCGTATCAACATTCTTATCTATAACAATAGTTACAACTATTAAGAATGTTGCGGGGCGAATAAACAGACGTAACAAATGTCGTCTGCCAGACGGAGGCAGACATGCCAGATAGTTTGTTTTCTGATAGAGACTGGGGTCTGGTATCGCAGACAATCTTTATCAAATTCTCATGTCTTTGTCTATGACAATGATTTAAGACACAACCGTACGCAATGGAAAGGCAGAATTTCTGTGTTCTCTTTGGAAGGGGCGCCGTTAGAGGTAAAACAAATTCGCGTGATGTATATACTAAAAGGGCTAAATCCTACTTTAAGAGAATAATAATATAGACTGCCGGGGTGTTGCGGTAGACGTGTAGCGGCTAGACGCTCACATAGTGATCCTAACGTACTGGGTTCGAGTCCGAAAGGAACCGGACTTGTTTCCCCTTTAAAACTGACCTTGGCGCCCAGGCTGACAAAGCCTTAAGTACGTGAAGGCCTGGGAAGTAAAGGTGGCCGGCGTGATTTTGACCACATCAAATGCCGATAGCTCTACAAAAACAGAGATCTAGCCCTATACGCCCAACAAGCCTGAAGGTCTGGAAAGAGTCCTTTATGTTAGTGTTACTTTAGTTCACTCGTCACACTGTGATATTTCTTCTTCTTCTTCTTTTGTCGTCTCACTGTTGCCAGGTTGTAACCCAGTGTCGTGGTTTTGTCGTCTCACTGTTACCAGGTTGTAACCCAGTGTCGTGGTTTTGTCGTCTCACTGTCACCAGGTTGTAACCCAGTGTCGTGGTTTTGTCGTCTCACTGTCACCAGGTTGTAACCCAGTGTCGTGGTTTTGTCGTCTCACTGTTACCAGGTTGTAACCCAGTGTCGTGGTTTTGTCGTCTCACTGTTACCATGTTGTAACCCAGTGTCGTGGTTTTGTCGTCTCACTGTCACCAGGTTGTAACCCAGTGTCGTGGTTTTGTCGTCTCACTGTTGCCAGGTTGTAACCCAGTGTCGTGGTTTTGTCGTCTCACTGTCACCAGGTTGTAACCCAGTGTCGTGGTTTTCTATATTTGTCTTGCGCTTCTCGGATGGCTTGAGTCATAGATTTATTCAACTTTTATGCAGGTTTCATCTAAACCATTTATCCATCTCTTTCTTGGTCTTTCTCTCGCCTTCCTAACAGATTTTGTACTTTAAAAAGTCTCATATGCAGTCTGGTCTGGCAGCATTCTCACTAGATGGCCAAACCATTTCATTCTTTGTCCAGAAATGATCTTATTCCAACTTTCTTTCTAATGCTGGTATTCGTAACCTTGTCTCGTCTAGTGTTGTTGGTGACCTTGCCGAGACAGAGCATTTCACATGTAGTTATTTTCTGTTCTAGTGCCCTATTCATTGCCCATGTTTGGCATTGATAACATAAAGTAGGGATAAAGATGCTATTAATCATTTGCTATTCTTCTGGAAGGTAGATATTTGGGTGTCTACGTGATAATTTCAGACATATTATTAGTATCTCAGTGTGACATAATTTTGTTTAAATGTATTGACTGATATATATGTGTCTCCACAGGATTTTCCACGGTCATGTTCTTCAGAAGACAGCTGTGGAGACGGAGCTAGAGGCGACATGAATGGATCGAGAAAGAGACATTTCAAATCAGACCCCTCTCACAGCAGCAGCGAAATCGCCCGCAAAGCCCGAAGAAAAAGTCCCCAGTCCGCAGAAGAACTCCAAGCCCAGAGATGTCTGGCTAACGTTAGAGAGCGGCAAAGAACTGAGTCCCTCAACGAAGCCTTCTCCCAGCTCAGGAAGATCATACCTACCCTGCCATCAGACAAACTCAGCAAGATACAAACCTTAAAGTTGGCATGCAGGTACATCGACTTCCTGTTTCAGATTCTGAGAAGTGATGAAGCCGAGATGAAATATTTCCCTTCCAGTTGCAGCTACATGGCCCACGAGAGACTGAGCTACGCTTTCAGCGTTTGGAGGATGGAAGGGGCCTGGCACATGACTGACCACTAGGCAAATGTCCCCGTGACATAATCGTCCAACATGCATTAGAATTTGTTTAAGCTTTAGTGTCCAGTGTCCGTCCACACATTTACATCTAATTTTGTTGAATAACTCATTGTCCAGGACCTCTTCAGGCTGCGCTGGGGGCTGATTTGAAAACATTTCCTATTCTTCAGCGATCAATGTTCCCTTTGCATCTACTCCGGCACGGTTGGCTAAATAGGACATGCTTGAGGTTTTTCGTGGAAATCAAAAAGTTTTTCTTGAAGTGTTGCCACTGTAGGCTGGATTTCCTCTCTCTGCCAAACGTTGAACATTCTTAAAACCTATTCTGTGAAGTTTACCATAGTGCTTCTCATGCGTAATGCGGATCGAGTAGGGCAATTAAAAGCATGATGCATGTGCTGGTAAAAAATGAGTGTTTGACAAAATGTCGTCCTGGATGTTTGTGAGAAATTATATTTCCATACCAGTGTTAATAATCAGTGTTAAAATATATGAACACTTTCCATACATCACATTTGGCAAAGAAATGCAACAGAATACCAGCATTGTTTACCAATGTGGCTGTAAAGTGTCTTAACATTGAAGGAACAGAACTTCATTGAATACATTTACATGACACCGAGAATTATCGAAAACTATAGTGCACTATTAATTATTTACTTCAGCTGTCTACTGTGGTGATTTATTTACTTGGTTATTAAATAGACTGTGATTTATCTGAACTGCTGCCTTCCTGGCAATCAGGACGTGACTGTTGTATCATCTAAATTTAGACCAGGGGTGTTCTGTTGTGGTGGTCGAGTTAACTGGATCAGGACGTGACTGCTATACCATCTAAATTTAGACAAGGGGTGTCCTGTTGTGGTGGTCGAGTTAACTGGATCAGGACGTGACTCCTGTATCATCTAAACTTAGACAAGGGGTGTTCTGTTGTGATGGTCGAGTTAACTGGATCCTAGACAGTTTCACAGGAGTAGGATAACACAATTTTTATTTGTTCAATCATCAGCCTGGATTCCAGAGTCGAGCCAGCATAATAAGACTTCCAGGTATAGGTGTCGGAATCTTGGAGTTGCTGAGCCTGTGTTCATCATTCTTTTTGGGGAATTCGGGCCCCGCCCCTCAAACACCACCACATTTAAGTGGCTTCATCCCTCAACCAACCTCAGTTATTTTGTAAGACGATTAAAGGGCCCTTTTCAACCATTTATTCAACTTATCATTGGAAGTATCTTTGTTTGTATACTTCATATTATTTCAGTTATATTACTGTAGTTATTCGCCAGTTGCTACATCAGTTATAATAGTTGTAGTAATAACAAAAATAATAATATTAAAAATTATAAAATAATAATACGAACGTGCCTAATGTCAAACATCTATAATAATATGCTTAAAATAAAAGTATGTACTAGCATCATATGCTGGTGATGAGGCGAACAGGCATTTTGTTATTATAATAAGCTATGATTCTGTTAAAGGTGTGTTTCATTATAAGGTGTGTATGTTGTTGTGTCTGTGTGTTTTATACTTCTGAATTTTTTTCTCTTCTTCCATACGCTGTTTGTCAATTTAATTTCCAGACAACGTGCAATCAGCGCCTTATTTCCAATACCACCTTCAAATATAACCTTTGTTGTCCCAGATAGTAAGCTAATAAATGAGGCGCACACGCCATTTGGAGGTGACAGGTTCGATTCCCAGCATGGTAACTTTAGCTTTCGATTCCTCTTTTTTTTTGGGGGGGGGGGGGGGGAGAGGGGGGGGGAGAGGATCTAAGGTAACCTTCTTTCTTTTTACTTCTTTATATGAGTGCCTTTCACTTCACTGTTTGTTTATAATATATAAATGTTTATATATACACACACACACACACACACACACATATATATATATATATTTTTTTTTTTTTTTAACGAAAGGGGAACATGGATTCTTCTTCTTCTGCCTTTCTAGCCCCCCAATGAAGCATAGGCCCTTCACCAACTCACGCTAAGTCGTTCTATTCTTCGCCATTGCATGGAGCTCTCCGCATGTCCTCCTCATCTTTCTAACGTCATTCTCCAGCTTATTCTCCAATTATGTTGGCTACGAAATAATGTGTTAAAAAAACTACTGGTTTGGGCCAATATTCTGGCATCTAGTGAATTAGTTGAAAAGCAGACAGAGGCGGATTACCGCCAGTATGGATAGAAGACCTTAAAAGAGCATTGACTGTAAAAGTACAGAGGGCTGGAAAATTGGTTACAGACAGACAGAATTTCAGGAATGCCGTGACGAGAACTAGAGATAGACAGACTATTAAGAATGCCGTGGCGAGAACGAGGGACAGACAGAATTTCAGAAATGTCTTGAAAGAGAAAATATCCAAGCAGTATTGTGGTTCAAATCCTTATCGCAACTGATTTTGTTTTACAGTTGAGCTTGCTAACATGCTGAATCTGTCTAAATATGGGCCTAGAAAATATCAAGGGGAGGGAAAGGCGGCTGGTGACATGTTGACCACATCACCCTTCGGATGCCGATCTATCGATGAAACTACGCATCTAGCATCATATGTCCGATCTCCTATGGGCAGAGAGACTAGCTACCCACCTGACTACCCGAGTCTTGCGTTTGAATTCCTTTTGATGAAGACTGGATTTCTAAACAAAATGGCAGGAAATCTAAAACCTATTCTGACTTCCTAGTTGCCGCGAAATAAAATGAGTACAGAGCAATGGTCGACTCTGTGGCTAAGTCGATGCGAACGCTTCGTAATGCCGGGTTCGATCCCAGCTGCGGGCCATGCGCCTTGCGTTGGTTTCCACAGTGGTATCAAGAAAGCCGACCGTCCAAAGGCAATGGTAAACAACTGGACATAAATTTGCCTGGAGAAACCACACAACAGCCAGAGGCTGCTGGGGATGGTTCTGCAACGTCATGTAAAAGAATACGCAACTAACCTTTTTGAAATCAACTAGGCAATGTCCTCTAAAGTAAAGGCGGCAAGCGTGACGTAGAGACCATCACCAATATCGAGTTCATCTGTCTATAAATTGTGTGTATTTGTTTTTTTATTCATAAAAATATAGGGATCGAGGAACCTAATTAACAATAAAAATAACCTCATAAGTGTTAGTGAAGAGCGGTTCAACAAATACCAGAAGAGTGTGTGAAAAAACAATGCACAAGATATCCCAATTATAACGCAGAGAGAGGAAATAAGATTCCAATTTCAAGTTTTAAAAGGTCATGTCTAATTAAAAAACCAACTGATGTTTACGTACTATTCGGACTACAGATGTGTGCATAAGCATACCGTCCCCATCTTTAGCAGCCAGCGCAAAGTTCTAATTCTGATAGGGCCAATAACATAATGATGGTATATCCGTTTCGTCTTTCTCCTGAGTGTTTAGCGTGGGCCAGATCCCCTGGACACCCCTCGCAGCTATGAGAAAGAGGAGGAAGATGTGGTTGCGGGATAGGGGTTTGGGTCCTGATAATTCTAATAACTAGTTAAAGAACTGTTTCTTTTTCTTTTTGTTCACAAGCTGTAGTAATCCTGTAGAATATTCCGGTTGTTCGTCCACTTCTGGACTTTAGTCTCGTCCTAGAACTTTAGTTTTGGATGCACACCTGTTTTACCGATCAAGACTATCTTTTGGTATGCAGTTGGTTCTCCAGGCGGATGCACCCGGACTTCGAAAAAAACATCCTCAACTTTGTAACTGTTACGATATGCTTGCTAGGGAGCAGCTGCTCCATTGTTTTTTTCTCTCCCAACAACGGGGCCACAGAACCCCCACGGGAAAGGCTCAGCATTCATTCAAGTCATACTGGAAAATCAACAGCTCGACAAAATTTGTAGTCAGCTATTCAATAATGGGACGAAGTTGCGAGATGGGCGAGAATGAATGGACGACGACTGAGACAGTTTGAGAGAGGGTCATCAACATCGTCATCATGTAGTAGGTCCTTTGCAGAACGTCGCTCTCATCACGGTCTGCCTGAAAGAAACTCGATCTCTCGCCAGCTCTCCCACCTCATGTACTTTCATACACAATTAGTCACTTATATCCTGTGCCCATCTTCGTGTTGGTCGGCCCCTGCCCCTCCTTCCTGGTACCATGCCTTCTGCTATAATTTTTTTTCCCAATCCGTCGTAGCGCTTGATATGACCAAAATATTTCAGTTTCTGAGACAGGATGCTGTTTATTAGCCAATCTTCCTTGATGTTCAGGTCTCTCAAGATGTCAGTATTTTTCCTCTTTTTCGTCCAAGATATTCTGATAATCTTTCTATAGCATTTCAGCTCAAACGCCCCTATTTTCTTTCTTAAGGACTGAGAGATAGTCCACGATTCACATCAGCATGTTGCTACAGGGAAGATGCATGCTCTCAAAATTCTAATTTTTATCTCCTTGCTGGTGCTTCACCATACACTTTTTAGGCTGTTTAATCTTTGCATTGCTATGACCATCTTCTTTTTAATTTCAGTCAAATAGTCTAGATTGCTATTTATTATAGAGCCTAGATATTCAAAGTTTGAGACATTTTCAATTTCTTCATCATTTATTGTTTTTTTTTTTTTTTTTTGGGTGACAGCCAGTTTTATCTGTTGACATAATTTCGTTTTCTTTAAATTCAAGAACAGATTTTGATGAGAGTGTACAAGGTCAAAATGCATTTTTTTTAAATTTAAATAATGCGGACACAAACAATACATTGCACAATTGATTGCCAAGCATATTTCGCTGCATCTCAGGTGCGATAGTACAAAGATAAATCAACATAAAATGAAGCACACAACAACAAAAAACCTGAATAAATCCAACTGAAATGTGAATAGTTTCTTTCGACACATCATAGTGAGTTTTGGCCGCCGGAAGCTCATCGTAGTCGCGTGACTTGCCAGGGTAACTTCACATTATCAGAATTAGACAATCTACAAGCTTTGGTCATAACATGTGAAGGAGAAAACCGGTGTACAACATGGCGGTGGGAAAGTGTACATAACTGTG